CAATATCATCAGGTGTCATGCCTTGTCCTCGATAAACAATGAATTTATTATCATCGCGAGTTTTCGATTGTTCATTATATATATCTACAATTCGTTGATGAAGATCATGTAGAAAGAATCCCATTTTCATTATTGTTTCAATGTCTTGTTCTCGTAAAGCTCGATTTAACGTTGCATAAAGAAATGATTCTTTTGTATACCATTGAATAGCTAAAGTATTATTATATTCTTGATTGAATTCATCGATTAAATTCAATTGAAGAATATTATCAGTATATTTTTCTCGACAAAATTCAACCAGTTTAGTTTTTGATGTATAATCATGGTTCATTTCGAGTAGAATCTCTTTGAGTAATTGTGTATACATATATGATTGATCTAGTTCATTTCCAACTAAGTCTGGAATATCTATTCTGCGTATAATACTGATTGAAGTCAAGCTGCCAACCAAGCCACTGTCAAATTTAATCTTTTGGAAAATATCTTCCATATCAAACAAGATGTGTTTAATTTTTTGTGACCATTTATTTACCCAAGGCAATCTTTGTCGTTTTACTTGGCTAAATATATAAATGCTGTCGAGCTGTGGTTTATCATATACGAGTGGTACAATTTCTTCGCCCAAATCATCCGATACAATTAGAAATACTTTTTTGTCGTCAACATTATCAATATAATTTATACATTGTTCAGCATTAGTACATGTATAGATTACAGATGTAATGCGTTGAAGTTTCGTCACTGAATCATGATATTTTTTCTTTGATTGATCAATATTTGCATCCACCCAAATAATGACAATATGTTCATTGAGCTCATGCTCTGAATGTAGTGAAGGAGACTTAGCTTTTTTCTTTGGAGTAGGTGGTTTAATAATACTAGCACTTTTTTGAGATGAAGAACTGGATGCTCGCTTCACGACATTATTATTTACGCTTGGTATACTAGTATTTTGATTATTCGTGTTACTTTGAGACCCAGTTTGAGCCGGAGGAATAGCGACTGCCGAACTACTTCCACACCCCATCAATTTAAAAAAGCAAAGACACTTTACCTTAATAGTCAGTTGCGTCGTCTACTTTGACTATAAATGTTTGCTTCGAATGTTCTTTTTCTTCTTTTTTTAAAGTATATTTTATTCTATGAAAAAAAAATGAAAAATGCAATCTTTGTCTCACAATTCTTTCCTTCATTTCAATCCCATTACAAGTTTCTCTTTTGATACTGTCGTAATGAAAGTCGAAAGGAAGAAAAATATAAACCTTGAAAAAAAGGCTTCAGCCAGCACTGAAGCAAAAATGTGAAAGGCTTTCGAGATGTCGAACATTTTACACAAAAGTTGCAAGCTTTATTTTTCTTTCTTTCAATTCAACAAGGAATGATTCAATCGAAGAAATCCCATTTTCTTTCATGATTGTCAACAATATTATTCACCACTATGTCTAATTGAATAAAACTCTGGAATAGAACTTTTCAGATATATAATTCGTGAGGGAACAGATTTTATTGCCATTCTAAAAATGAGTCGAGAACTACCTTATTGCATGAAAAAAAATGTCAATCTGATTGTTCACAACGAGTCTTTCTTTCAAGATGTCGCCACAATTAGAGAACTATAAACTTTGTTTTAAAGAGAGATGTCCAACTAGAAAAAAGTCGTAATTTTTATCACTCTCTCTTTACATGTACGCTCAAAAGGATAAAACTAGACAAAGTTAAGCAACAAGTGATCATACTAATTTGTATTTAACATTCCAAACCATAAATGTAAATAACAATAAGTATAAATGTTATTCGATTATATTCATTAATATTGAAATGAATCAATTTTTCTCTCTGTTTTATTCTTTTAATGACTTTTTCGCTTTTTAAATTTCTGAAAACTATATCGATGTTCAACTAATAGGATATTAGTTCATATTACAAATTCTATTAGTTCTAAATCAACTATAATATTAAACTAATTATTCCTTGGCAATAATTTATTTGCTCACATGAAAGAAGGGTGAGTGTGGCTATCACTTCATAAAATACTGACATCCACATCCAAACACACACCCACCCATATCCTTTTATATTTTGATAGTACTGTAAAAGATGTATAAACAATGATATATAGAAAGGGCATAAATATAAACAGATCGGGAGAGTATGAACATTTTTTTGTGATGTTTTGGAGTTAGCTGTTTGCTCCATCTCATAGTCTCTCTATTGTTCTGAAAATATAGAAATACTGTTTAGTTGCGAGTAGTAAAAGAGTTGAATTAGAGTTTATTTACTAAGAGAAATGTTTTAAAAACTTATGATCTCTACAGGATTCAATGAATCTAGTATGCTATTTCAAAACAATCAGAACATTTGGGTGATATCATATTACTTTCATTCATCTAACTATTTATATACATAGAGGGATCAAAAAACTCTGAGAACTACGTAGTAATATTTTTTCAATAAGAAGCACAACGTTTAAAGGTACCATAATAATGTTCGATAGGAAGCTCGATTTACTTTTGAATAATCTTTTTTTGTATTCATTGATATGTATCAAACTGACTGCTCGGCTGTTGCTTGGTTAAATTTATTGCATCTAATTAAATATTTAATCTATATTTTAAAATAGTTGAATAACAGAAGGACAAACAAAGCGAAGCCAGTTGAATGTGTCTGATAGACTATATCTTCAAATTCTCTCTTCTTTGAGAAAGGACGAGGAGCGTTAAGGACATTCTTCATCCTCTGATATTTTCAACAAATAACTATATGGCGATAACAGGATTGGTATCCACTACACATCTAGATTAGTCATTTGCCTTGAAACGACTTTGAGGTTTTTGACCCCTCTTTTTCTCTTGGACTATCCTCTGAAAGGTCTGTAGAAGTGTGTATTAGGTGCAAATTTTCGAGCTCTATCTGAATTTAGGTGAATGAGGATCATCGAACATTTAGTCATAATGTGCCAATAGTTTCAGCCAAATCGAATGCTTCATTTTCGAGATATTGAATGATCAACAGTTGTATATGTTTTATGAAAACTCCAGAAACGTTGTTTTCTTGAAGCGGCTATAACTTGTGAAGAGAACCTTCGTTTTGGCTAAAATTTTTACTGTATAAATCAAAAATATGAGGCATACTTATTGACCAAGTTTTAAGCAAAAATTAGAACATTCGATTTTTCTTGATTTACGCTAGCAGAGATCAAAAATACCCTGCCAAAGGCATAACTCAAGAAAAAACGCCTATGGAGATGTATTTTCTTGGGTTTGTCATTGTTATGACACGTTCTAATGAGTGCTGGAAACAGCGACACTGGGAGTTATGCGACCGTCATTCTGCTCGTATTTCGCTATTACGAGTAGCTAAACATGTCCGTTGATCTTCATTCACCTAAATTCTGATAGAGCTCGAAAAGTTGCACCTAATACACACTTTTACAGATCTTTCTGATGATAGTCCATGAGAAAGAAAGGTCAAAAACCTGAATTGAACTCCGAAAGCCAGTATAAATAAAATTCATCTTGACTTTTGGAAACTGGATTTTGAAAAAAAATCTTTTTGAAATCATGAGGAGGAGTAAGGGGTCAAACAGGTCGAAGTCGTTTCAAGGCAAATGACTGCCCTAGATTTGTAGTCCATATCAATCCTGTTATCGTCATATAGTTATTTGTTGAAAATATCAGGGGATGAAAAATGACCTTAACGCCTCTCGTCTTTTAATGACAACATTTTTTATATGTGGTTTACAGTATCACGATGGATTTGATATCATCAATGCATCATGATAGTCTTTGTTGAAAATTTCGTAACTAATGCTTTTTAAACATTTTTGCGATTATTAGTTAGCATTAAAAGATCGTATAGAATGTATCTGACGAATAAATAATAGTCTCGTTATCATAAGGAAAATGAGAAACATTGTTTCTTTACATGCTGTCATCTTCTTATGACAAGTCAAATGTTTTCTCTTTTTACGGACTAGGATTTCTCTCTTGTCTCTACCCAATACTACGATATCTGGTCTATCTTTCAACACTCTTCATCACGTCATATCATCACAGTGTCCGTTTCATAAAATCTAGCATAGAAAAATATTATTCAAAAGTAAATCGAGCTTCTTATCGAACATTGTTATGATGTCCTCTAATGTTTGATGTAGACAAATAAATATAATATACTTCTTATTGAAGAAATATTACTAGTCCTTAGAACTTTTTAATCCTTCTATGTAAATTTACTTATTAAATATTATAGTATTCATATTGCTTAATTTAGTTTTAATTTATGTAGCCTTTCTAGAATTAGTTTCTTGTAATTCTCTATCTATAGATTATTACTTAGTGGATAATACAACATTAAGTCAATAGAACTATAATGACTTATATATACAATGAAAGATTTAAAATGATTCCAGTTTTGTGTCTTTTATAATGCATGAACTTTTTATGAATGTTACTTCAGAATTCTGAATATTTTTTTACTGATTCAACTATTACGAAGATTATATTCGATTCATGATAGAATGCAAGGATTTACAATGGTCAAAGTACACAATATATACCGATAGAGAGTGTTTTCGCGAACGATGTATGCCGCATTTAGGTAAAGAAAAAAAAATTCTTTAAGACAAAAAAAAAATACTTTTTAATCTTTAGATGAAAACGATTAAAATTCAAAAAATATTCCTGTTTTTTTTTTCTGACTACATCAAACGCTAGTATACTCTGATGATATTGAAAATAATTAATTTCCTCTTCATTCTTATACTGAATGATACCCACGAATGACGTTATTTATCTTGTGCATAGAAATGCCTTGAGACAGTTAGTACGAGCTGTGTTTTTCTTTTCAATGTTCTATACAAGATATGACAGAGTAGAAGGAAGAAAAGCTATTATTTAGCTTAGTTTTTCTTTCTATCTTTGTACTCTTCTACATTTATCGTAGAGACTTAATTGCGCATCATCGAAATATAGTAGGGACAAACAAGCGAAAAGATAGATACAATGCATAGTTCTAACAAACCTGTTTTCATTAAATTCTCATTGATTGAAGATCCTCAAGTACAACGAACTCGTAGAATCCTGTCAATTATACTTGGCACTTGTATTGTGAGTTTTATTTTTATTTTTTGATTATAATTGAATAATACTAAGAGATAACAATATTGATGTTTTTTGTTTTGTTTACATTGTATGCCAATTAGTTCGTACGTGTTACTTGAACAATGAAAACTAGATTTTGTATAGTGGTAGAGAAATGAATCAGTTTGATATAGTATTTTATAGGATTTCGAGATTAATTTTTTGTGTAAATATCCAAACTAGATGAATTGAAATATTCTCAAAGAAGCTTTTGAAAACAAATTAATCTTTTTTCGAGTTTTTTAACACAATTTTAAAAGTAACTATTGAAAAAAAAGGTACATTCATTATTTTGTTTAACAACAATTGTAAACGATAAAAAATGTCAAAAAAAAAACTCAAATTAAGCATTTTCGAGTCACGATCTAAGATAATGAGCAATAACAGAAGAGATTTGTTCGAATTGATGAAATTTAACTCGTTTCATACTAATCTAAGAATATTTTGACTAAATTAATGCTTATCATGGTCTGACTAAATCTATTATAGTTTTAGTCTAACACTATTCATACGTTTAGAAAACTTTTTATCAATAATCCATGTATATTCAAAGAATCTATTTTTTCATTGATATTATTTATTTTAATCTGTTAGTGTTTATCTATACTTCGAATGATTAGTGTAATTTTTGGAAACGGCAGCAATGCTTGTTTAATTAAAACTGAATTTGTAGCAGAAATTGTTCAATTTCTTAGTTCAATTCTTGCTTACAGCTTTGGATTATTTGTCACTCGTCGATACTATGAAACTGGTTTACGAATAGTATGTATTTGTTTCTTGCTTTTTATTTTATATATATGCAATTCTTATAATAATTTTTGTATAACTTAACTTCTATTGACTTAATCTTATGACTTATAGCTTAGTTTCAATTTTATGAAAAATGAAATCCGTTGAAGTATTGTGTTTTAATCAGTGGAATGAAAAAAAATAAACTAAATACAATAATTTTTCTAATTAATTTGAAGGTTTGTTTGTTTTTTCTTTCTTCAAGCTATTCGATATTGTCCGTAAAAAGATCGATATTCTTCATGAATTAAGTGAAAGAGTTGTCTCACATTGAGACAAACGTGAATGTTCATGGATTTAACTATTCTATCAAAAAAGTGTCTCTAAAATCTTATAAAGAAATGACATGAAACAGTAGATTTATATTTCATTCGGAATAGTATACAATGAGGAAACAAATCTTCATACGTATTTTTTCATTTGTTTTTCGATGTATATTTTTGTTTCTGAACTAAAAAAGCTTTAAATAAAAACTATTTGTACGCATAGTGAAATAGTGTAAAATTAAATTTGGAATTATATTCGATGACAAACTCTCTATGACATTTATCTTGTAGCCTGTTTGAATAAAATCTTCGAATTAAAATTGATATTTTTATTTTCTAATTTTAGTTTGCTTGGTTGATCATACTTGAACTGGTTATAATTGGTATTGGTATTATAATCGTAGTTCTTATAATTCTTGGTGGTATACATCGAACGGTGCCGAACTCAACTACTTATAAAGATCGTGACAGCCTCATGATTCGTACACAAATAGGTGCTTTGACTTGTGCTTTTATATATGTTTTTGCTTCTGTTCTTGATGTAACTATTTTATCTCATTCATATCTATTATTGTTATACTTCTTTTGTTTTGTAGATTATCATTGCAAAATTTGCCTTCAAATTGATCAACCTTATTGGTATCAAAAGATCTTTACCTCTGCCACAAATCTAAATTTTTATTTTTACTCGAAATTTTTCTCATATTAACTTGTATTCAATTTTTTATTTCGTAGTTTCTAATTTTGCTATTTTGTTCTTACTCAGAGATTCAAAAATAAATATCAAACATATTTTCTTTATCGATAACTTACCAAATGCAAGAATTACTTATAGAGTACTTCTTTCGAGAGTGTACTAGAGTTTACATCGGAATGTATAGTACTTGATATCTTTCTATTGAAAAGTTCCCCATAAAGATCGACTTTTTCGTAATTTTGAAAGTATAATTTCTCCAACAAGAAACAAGATTTAGTTATCAATTTTATATGCATTAGAATTGTCTTTGATGATGCAAAAGTTTTGGAAAAAATCAAAATTCTCCTGCTTAGTGCGATTTGTTTTGGTTTGAAATCTTTCGTAAGCTCATAACTGGATAGTACGGTCAAAGACAATTCTAATGCATATAAAATTGCTAACTAAATCTTGTTTCTTGTTGGAGAAATTATACTTTCAAAAAATTACGAAAAAGTAGATTTTTATAGGAAAATTTTCAGTAAGAAGAAAATATCGGAGAAAATGGTTTCCATTCAACTATTCTGAAAGTTCCAACATTCCATTATATAATATGAAGAAATCCAAGAAATCAGGTTTTGAGTGGAAACATATCTGGAGTTACTGCCTGAAAACCATACAACATCGTTTTGAAACTTATTGAAGATGATTTTTGAGATCAAGATATCAAGTACTATAAGCTTGAGAGTGTGAGTGTGAATGAAAAAATGAACTACACCCACATCCTCATATTAATGAAAGCTAAATTCAGAAGAGATGACTAAAAAATGACACATGAGTCAGCTGAATCTAGCAAAATACGAGTATTTAAGACTTTTTGTTAGATTTAATGTGAATAAATCTTGAAATACTGTTTTCTATGTCGGAACGAGAACCGTAGAAAAAAGAAGCTATTGTGATCAAATAGAGACTGAGACTAAACAACTTGGTCCTGCGTATTTCCAATAAATATTAATTGTAACGAAATCGAAAAACATTCGTGATCATGACCAAAAATCTTGATCACGTAGATCAATACATGCTATATAGCCTGTATAAAAACTTTCCAATGCGGTCCGATGAGGAACCAAAGTATAGAACTTATAAACCTCTGACTGTTAGAAATTTATGATATATTTATTGTCAGAGGTGTTAAAATAATTTATTTAAAAAAAATATCAATGATAACAATTGTTATAGCTGATAGGCGTGCTCTCAGATTTCCATCATTTCGAAAATGTTTGCATTTAGAATTACTATTCTATCAATTTATTCGACTTCTTTAATTTGCTTATACAGAAAAAACTTATTCGCATTATCAGATACATCTTCCATACATAACTTCTTTTCTCCAAATGATAATAGATATATATATATATATATATACGTATATACGATACATGTCATAGGAAGCAAAAAAATATCATTTTATTCTTCGTTGCGTCGGTGCAACTGTCATATTAGTCTTTTATACATATTGATGCAGTTGTTCGGTAAGCTATCGTACACATCTTTCTTTCCCTCGACGAACTTTGCCATATGCTATTGAGTTTTGCTTAAATCTAGAATTCATTTAGCTTATAATTTTCTGTACAATATGTCTACTTATCAGTCAATAAAGAGAATCAGAATTTTACGTTCTTTCTAACTCTATATTTAGAATTTCGATCTTACTCAAAATTAGTTCATCTAGAGGTAACCTGATCGAAATCGATTGCATTAAAATTTTTTTTTGATTTCTTACTCACTCTAATCGATAGTCTGATAGAAAATTAAATTTTTTATAACACTGGACAGTCAATACGATCATCTAACTCACTTTAACCATAGCTATCTCATCTATATTCACAACCTCGCCCAAATTCATTCACTCACACACATTTATATCCACATCCACTGAGATCCGAAGCCTGAGGCGCACACCCGTCATTTGTTTTCTTTGTATTCTCTAAAATTGCATGATCCTTTTAGTGTCGTATAGCAGATTTGGTTGTCCTTTTCATTTCGCAGCTTTAGGTATTATTTTCTTCTTAGACAATTGCAGCGAAGTCCGAAACATATCGAAGGTTGGTTTGAGTAAGTGAGTATCAGAATTTTTTTTTTCATCCGCACCCTCTAGTACGGAATATTATCTGAATTTACAAGAACCAATATAGCAGCTACAATTATGACGGTTTTATTTTTTGTTTTTCTTTTAGATATATGTCCTGCTTGTTTTGAAAAGATTCATTAATCTATAAATGAAATAGAATCAAAATCCTATCTCAAATAGCTACCGTTGTTGTCATCGTTGTATTAAATATCGAGCACGTATATTTATCTACTATGTTGTCGATTACGAAAGATACGAGTTGATCTTTGCATCATCGATGTGTGCTGTAAATATTGATCGTGTTTTGTCTCTTATTGGGACGCCTCTTTCAAGCATGGCGTTGAGCTATGACAAATCATTTTCAATAATTCTTCGTGAATTGAATTGAAGAACTTGTTCCTTACATCAAGGTTAAAGGCTGGGTGATCGGTATGATCAAGATTCTTCCAGTATTTTGATTGACCGAAAATCAGTCATTTGACATCTGTTCAATATTTTTTCTGCAGCTTTTTGTTGTTTGACTTTTGATCAAGAAGCTTCCAATATACGATATCTATAGTCTTCAATTGAAACATTTCAAGACACATTTGAGCATCTATACAATGAGCTACATTCAAGGTATTAGTGAAATATGATCTAGCAAATAAAACAGTGACATTAGATCTTTTTTATTCAATGTTAGTGGAATCTTTCAAAAAGAATACCTTCTTTCTTGCCATGTCTATATCTTGTTCTGTCAATCGAGACATTTGATTCATGTTAAAGATCAATTGCTACGGATTAAAAAAGATCGAAACACTATCGGTATTGATAAAAATGGAAAGAAATTTGATGTGCGTATGTGTATGTCATGAAATTTTTCGGAAGTATTGTAGTCAAATCAGAAGACATAAGAGATGTTTTTGTTGCACTTTAACATTCACGTGTATGACGCCAAATCACGACCCTTGAAAATATTTTTACTCATTCTTCAAATAGAGGAAGTGAGTATCGCAAACTTGTTTTGATGCACATTACATGCATATACCTGTATATTGTAAATATATATATATATATATATACTCGACAATCATCGTAAAGGTAAGAGATACTTCAATTTGTCAAAAATTTATTGTACGATCGACAATTTATTTGGCTAATATATTTGTTTGCTGCTGTTCTCCGACGTCGACCATCATCCTAGTTATAAATCATGAAGTTTGTCGTACTGTGCTTTCTATGGGCTATCACTATTACTAGTAAGTCATCAAAAATGAAACGAAGCTATGACGACAATGTATTTTATGAATGTCCACCAAAAGAGCGTGAACATCTTTAACATATTTCCAGACAAAAGAGCAGACTTATGATTTTCAGTCATTTTCGATGATTTTAATTGTTTATGACAAAAAATATGCAAAATACGCACATTTATTTGGAGAATTTTTCTTAAAAAAATGTTTTAGTCGATTCTACACTGCTGAATTATTAGTTCACATATACTTTCTGTTTTTGCGTCGGGTATTTCTCTAATCTGTTAGAAAGACATACTGATCACTGCGTGTCACAATAACTAGGTAGTGTTTCAGTAGCTTTGGACTGTTGTCCAATAAATATATATATATATATTTTTCTGTAGTTGTCATATGGATCGATCTTGATCAGTTAATTACCTCTGATTTGAACGTAACTTGGCTATGAATGTCAATTTATTATGACTACGCACGGCCCTGTAAAAGACTTTGAGTGCTTTTGAAACTTTTCTTGTGTTTTAAAGTCAAATTATTGAAAAATCTCCTCGATCGAATGTCACATGTATCATTGAAAATAGAAAAGTGACTTTTCATCTTTAATCCTTATCTATTGCTCAAATCGATTAAGAATACCTATTTGACAAGCTACAAAATGGTAAAATTCGTTGTAAGCCGAAACAATTCGAATTACATAGTAGAATAATTGAGAAGAAAATAAGACGAGCATATCAAGTCTATTGTGAATTAGGTTTCAAAACATACGTAGGCAAAGAAAATTGTTTGCAAACCGTCCGAGTTTTATCAAGTTCACTTGTGTCATATTTCTATTGTAGCATCAGAACAGTTTACAACGTATGCACGTGCCATGAATCATGTTGGCATATCTGTGACTGACATTGATGCTGTGTTGGCTTGGTATCATGATGTACTTGGCTTCACAGTACTAATCGCGCCAGTCGAGATTGCTGTTAACAATTCAACCCCGATGGGGAGTCTTCTTTCTCAAATGTATCCACCCGAGATGAAACGTGTTAAAATGGCTCACATGAGTTCAGGTAATGGTGTTGGCTTGGAACTTTTTCAATTTATTGATCCACCAACACGACGTCCAAACACGACCAGTTTTGAATATTCTCGTGCCGGATTGTTTCACATTTGTGTGACAGATCCTGAACCTGAAAATTTGGTTCGTAGGATTGTAGAGACAGGTGGAAAACAGATAAGTCCTGTTTTAACAGTATTTCCTGGTGAGATTTATCAAGCAGTCTATACTCTTGATCCATTTGGAAATCTTGTCGAAATCATGGCCACTTCTTACGAGCGCCAGATGAGTAATCGAGATCCTAATGTGACAAGTCAAATTAGTGATCCCACGATCACATCTCGTCCATCAAAATCACAACAATTATCAACCAGCAGTGTGCTACAGAAGATTATTGCCAAAAACTAGAACCTCGATATTTTTTGATTGTTTTTAAGTATTGGCGTGACAGAGAGCTTGTGAGTTCAAGCATGTATAGATTTCATCTTGCATTTATTTTATTTTTATTCTTTTGTAAACTTCAAATGTTATTTATTTCACATGGTATGTGTCTTTCTATGATACTGTAAACGTGCCATGTGAAAAGAATTCTTTCTGTGTCTTGTGTAATGTGTCTTAATGAGTGCTAATAAACAAGCGAGTAAAAATCAATACGTCTCTGCATTTCTACAGTATTTGCTAAGTGATCGATATATTTGAAATGAATGAAATTCTTCTAAGTGTATCATTTCCTCTAATTGTATATAGTGCCAATTGCTTGACTTGTATAGTTTACTAATTGCATCTAAGCCGAAATTATGCATGATTTCGTCAAAGGTATGAATCCAAAAGCCAGAAACAATAGTCATATTATATGCTAAGGTACAAATTAAGCTCAATAAAGTGACTTCTTGGAAAATGTGTCGGTTGTGAAAAAATGTTGTTAGATTGAAATTGTGACGAAAATGTTGAAGAAAAACTTAGTGATGCGCAAATCGTAACACTAAGTCGACAAGCGTACGAAGCTGAACGAAAATTATATTGCATCAAAGCAAGAGGAGGAGAGAATCTGAGTGGTCGGTGCACCTTGATATTAAATGAGATTTTTCATGGAGAGTTGAGAAAAAAGTTTCTTGATCAAGGACAATAAAGTCAGATATACATTTGCTGTCCACTCATGTGATATTCTGCAGTTCTCTCACGGAATTTGCTACACTCTCAATTGACCTGTCATGACACTTTGCAGCAGCTTTCTGCCTACTCAGTCGAGCATTTGTGGCGTCCTCACAGGAAACCGAAAACGAGGGTGTGAGTATAGGGTGTGGATGAAAAAATGAATTACACTCACACCCATACCTACACCCTGCAATCTCAGCTTGTGCATCGATCGTCTCTGCAACAGCAATAACTATCGATTTCTATCAGCCTTTTTTCTAAGGTTTTCTACAGAGTAAGAAATCTCGTCTTTGTATCATAACAGTTTCGATGTGTGACAGATTTAATTTTCTATAGAACAAGCCGCATCCGAAACATTCTTCTATCATTCGAAAGAAAAATTAGCTCGATTGAGTAGAACTATGCAACTTAATTGACATTCAAGGATATTTCTTTGATAAATAAAAGCTGTCTCTCTAGTCAATGAAAAGAAACAGTTAAGTTTCATGACAGATATAAATGAATACAAGTCTATTTGGTAGTCAAACACCGGTAGATCGTCCATGTTTTTGATGTTGCTAACTAATCCATATTTCGATATGAGTACAATCTGTTGGAACTCTTCGAATAGAACATGTCGATGGCAAATCCTTTTTCAGTCGTTCCATGAAACGATCTACTTCTAGTAATTGGAATAATGGTTGAATCATAGATACGAGTTGATATCCATTATCTTCTCGACATTGACAAGTTAATGAGCGAAGACAAGACATTGTATTGATAAGGTAAAATATATTTGCTGTCTTTTCTACTACAATGCTAAGAATTTCACATTGAAGACCAAGTGATGAGGTGACGAACGTAGTACAATCGTTGTGATCGAATATTTCATTCGACATCATAGTAAAATTTCTCCATTCAATGCGACGGATCGATGGGCTTGTGATTTTCGACAATATTGGTAGAGAAGCTGGTGATTTTTCGATAACCAAAGTATAGAGGTGTGGTATTCGATCGATTATGACTTGTAACTGATCTAGTGCAGTGTTATCAAATTGTTGTATGTTCAAGAAAGTCAAATGATCTAAGTTTGGAAAGACATGCCATATATCTTCATTTGTAGGAAGTGGAATTGTGAGACGTTCAATGTTAGGAAAACGAATAGGACATGATGACCAATCGAAATCTTTGTACACGTCATCAATTTCGCGTACATTAGTATACAACCAGTGATCTTCATCGTGAGGACAAGTCGATTTAAACAATGTCTGCTTATGGAAATTACGATATGCCTCAAAAGAATAAGGTAGAGTGTATAGAGAACCATTCAGATTCATCAGACCCATATCCATGCTAGATGTATTATATTCACATCGAACAAACCAACGACGTTCGTCGAGCCAGAAAGGTGTTCGAAATGTGTTCAATAGCTCATCGACTTTCTCTTCATTGTGACACCAACGAAAAGAAAACATTATTCGAAATTGAAGCGTTTTCAATTCGGGTAGATCAGCAACAATAAACTTTTCCCAGTGATGTCCATACCATGAATAATTCTCTGAAATTTTGGTTAGGTCCATGATTAGATGACGTAAATTAGGCATGCTTCTCAAAATGTTTATGGTCACATCTAACGAAGCAGCACTAGTGATCTTCAATGTTGTTATTGATGGAGAAATATTCATTCGTGCTCGATGCATTTGTTCATCGTAATTCCAGCTGATTCCAGTGCACAAGTATTGAAGTCGAGGTGTATATGTTAAAATATGTGATAGTTCGCTAGCTGGCATTGAAACATTATTGAATACTACATACTCAAGTGTTGATGAGTTGACATTGTGTTTCAGGCGATAAATTGGATAGTCCGAATGCATGTGCAGACTAAAATGTATAAGTTTGGGAAGCCGCCAGACATTTTTGGTTAGCCACGAAAAATCACTGAAAACTGGAAGATTGCATTCACTCATTTTCAGATAGATCAGATGCGAAGACGTGAAACATTCTTGTAACATTTTCTCGAGCATATCTTGAGAATTAACCGAAACGATTGAAAGTGAATGTAAACGAGTGAATTGATGAAGAGTGAGTTCATTTGAGAAAAGTAGATGTGGTAGATTTGGAGTTACTCTATCATCGGAGAAACACAACGAAAGAATTCGATCACGAATCAAAGGTAAGTACTGTTGATAAATCAGATCAAAGTCACGTTTGGAGATCGATTGAAGATTAAGATGATAAGTTTGAAAATGAACGACGAGAAGTGTCTCGAAACGAGAATTGAGATCATGAAAAGCTCGTAGAATATCAGTGCCATCAAGAAATTCGAAAAGATTGAGTAGCAGTTCGTTTGGCAAAGATTCCAATTTCATCTTGTTTTTTTCTTCGATTGTGCAAAAGAAACAATTGAAGAAGTTTGTGTGCTTTCATATGATGAAAAATAAAGTGTTTTTTTTCTTTCTACCGATGTTGCTCGTTGTTGGTAATCATTGTATAAAGACTACTCATTTTTCACTACGGGTTGGGTGTGGGTGGGTGTGATTCTGTGATAATCATTCACACCCACACCCAACAGTCTTTCATTCTCAAAAAAATGTCGTGTCTGCTAGACGACCTTCGGTACACTTCATATCTCTTGCTTACTCTCCTAACAAGGGAAAAAACCCGTAGTGAAAAATGAGAAGTCTTTATACAATGATTACCAACAACAAACAACATCAGTAGAAAGAAAAAAAACACGTTACTTTTCGTCGT